TGCTCACTCAATCAAGTTAGATGCTTTTAAAGACAAATTTAATTATTCTGAGCTCAATAAAAGCCTTTTAATAAGCTGAACATCATAAGCTCTCCATTTTTGGGGTTATCAGTCCAGGCAAGAAGGGGGCTCAACAGGAGGGGAGGAAGCAGGGGCAAAGTCAGCGCACACGCACGCGCGCGCGCACACGCACATGGACGTGGATGGATATTTATCTTAAACATTTACTTGCACATTTAAACCCATCGTTTGTTCACATTGTGAAGTTCTTATAACATTTTGTTTTATTTTTAGAAGCAGTTTTTTTTACTTTGGGACAACTGTATAAAGTGTTGAAGAAAATCCGAAGCTGATCTGGCACAGACTTCCTGTGTGTTCTGTCCCCGCCGTTGGCTCACACATTCTGCCTCGCTCCGAACGTTCCGTCTATGCCTGCAGCTGAGACAGGAAGCCAGACACACATGCTGAAATAATTTCAACAAATATCAACTCCAAACCAGCTTGAAGTCTAAAATGGCAGGGCTGCTTCGGGCACTGCTGCCTTCCCCAGCTTGGTGCAAAAGAGCCTGCTGCTCTGCAGGCTGCAAGCTCTTTACTCAATATTAATACATTTATTTACCCTGTCCAGTGGTCATGGCATCTGTTGATTTTAGCTGCCTAGCACCCAACTCCCTTCTTCTGTAAAATCACCCCCATTTTTTCTTTGGAGAATCACCCTCTCTCCTCAATGCCTGTGGATGGGAGGGAGTTGACCCCAACTCCAGGGCTAAGGCAGGGCATGTGACTCAATCTGGCCAATGAGAGCACGCTCTTCTTATGGCTGCAGTGATTGGTTCAGGGATGGGCACATGACCTAATCCAGGCCAATGGGATTCAATCTGGGACTTTGGGAGATTTGGGAACTGATTTCTTCCCACTTGGTGTAGAGTCACGGGAAAAAAGTCTGGAGAAAAGATGTCATTGGGAGAGGAGAATCTTCTTGAAAGGGCAATCGCTGGAGAGGAGAGCAGTTTGGTGGTAGAGATAAACACCTTTCACAGTGTGCACATCAAGACCCGGCGGCATATAATCGAACCCAGCCCTGCCTGTTGCTTTTCAGCTACAAGAGTCAATAATTCCCTCTTCTGCTAAAGCCAGGCTGACTTGGGTTTGGGTCACTCATTATAGAAAGAATTGGCTGATACATGAAACTTTAACTTTACCAGACAGAAAACTGAAATACTGAATTAACTGGCTCTAGGTCACTTGTGGGCATCTAGGGATGGGGAGCATTTCTGAGAGAGTGTAGAGAGGGAGAATCCCTCTGCTACATGCTTGGCATGTGGTCTCCATCCAACCTCACCATGTGTTACGTACCAACATTAATGCGAGGCGGTTCTTTCTTTTATCCTCACGAGACAGTATCAGCCGTGGCCTAAGATGCAAGCGCTATTATGTCACAGGTCTGTCTATAAAGGTGAAGGAGGTACAAAGCACACACACCCTAAGTATTCAACCGAAGGGAACCCCTTATATAAATTAGGAGATCTGCACAATGGAAGGCTCTGAAGCTATGAAAAAAATGGGATGCAGAACTGTATTTATGGGTATGGAAAAGTGTTCAGAGGACATTAAGTATAAAAATGTTTATAAAGCTATAGTATGGTTCCACTTAAAAATATATGTGAGTATGCCTAACAGCAAAGTGCCTACGGAGCGCAGTTTATTTCTTAGCTATACATAGATGATTGTATTCTATGTGTTTTCTAATTATTCTCTACAGTAAATGTGGACTACCGCAGATTGGGTGATTTGAACAACAAAAATTTATTTTCTGTTCTGGAGGCTGCAAGTCTTGAGATCAGGAAGGCAGTACGGGGCGGATTCTGGTGCGAGCTGGCTTCTTGGCTTGCAGACGGCTGCCTTCTTTCTGTGTCCTCACGGGGGTTGGTGGGGGGTGGGAGAACAAGCTCCTGATATAAGGGCGTTAATCCTATCCTGGGTACTCCACCTTCCAGACCTCATCTAGACCTAATTACATCTCAAAGGCCCCATCTCCAAATACCATCACACTGGGGAGTAAGGCTTCAACATGTGAATTTAGGGGGACATGATTCAGTCCCCTTAGCATGGTGTAATAAAAATAACAACAGAAATCAATTTCTTCTATACGATAGGACTTTGCAATTCAACGAACAATACCTGCATAGTCACAGCAATGTAAACACCATTTACTGAATTTCAGTTTTAGAATCAACTCATAGATAAAGCAGAGACGACTGAATCATGTGACGGGGCAGAATATGAATGTCATTCGTCTTGATGAGTTGAAAGTAAAAGTGGAGAGAACTGAGGGAGGAAGGAAGCGAAGGAGGCTGGGAGGGAGTGGGGAGCTGAAGATGCTCAACACGGCGTCCCTGACTGCAGGGTGGGGGCTCCCCGTGCGCACACGCAGAGAGGCAAGGACAACATCACTGTAAGTCACAAAGACTTAAAAGGCATGCCAGGTGAGAACCTCTTTGCTGGGAAGTGGGAGGGAGGAGAGTGACGTGCTAAACCCTTGGCTATCTAAACAGGAAGTCAGTTCGTAATGTCTCAAAACTTGATCAAGGTGGAGACCATTATTTTGGAGACGAATCAGTAACTCTCAGAAGAGAAAGTGTAAGAAGCTGTTTTTGCCTCCAAGCACTGGGCCAGGGCCTTGGAGCGATGGGGCAGGGATGTTGCTGGATCTGCTGTTTTACTTTGCTAGAAATGTAAAACGTACTTGGTTAAACAAAACACAAACAAGACATTCGGATATTGCCCCGCATGTTACAGGTGGACAGCAGCCACCACGGAGAAAAGCCCCATTGTTCTGGCCAGATTCCAGAAATTGCTCAAAAGACAGTAGCTGCTAGGCTTAATTGGGCGGGGGGTGTCGGGGGAGGCCAGACCAAATGACCTGTTGATGTTTAGGTGACCACCACTGAGCTCCCGGACTCACAAAGCGGCACAGGAGGCTGCCGCCTATCTCAAACTTGCCAGAGGCCTGGGGCGGGCTCTGCCTGCCACCTGTGCCAAACAACTGGGGCTGCTGAGGGGAGGTCAGGGTCTGTCCTGTTACCAGTGTCTCTGGCACCACCCTTGTGGTGGCATATAGTGGGTTTACAGTATCTGCCATTCAGATCTGCTGTAAATGTGGCCCAAGGACCTTCTGGCCACGTTCTAATTACCTACAACTATCCCTAATCAGGCGGGTTTCTCGGTGCCCCACCCCCTGTCAGGCCACGCCCAGCACGCATCCAGGCTGTCTGCAGGTGCATGGGCTCAGCCGCTCCAGGGTGCTGCTGCTGTGCTGAGCGAGAGCCCAGCCAAGTCCCACGGAGCCTCTGCTTCTGCAGGCGCCTGGCTCACCCTCACCCCTGCTTTTATCTCCAAGTTCAATATGCAGCCTCCCCTTGCTCCTGAGAGCTTGCCCTCAGCCCATTGTGAGGCTTGTCTGAGAGTTTGTCTCTAAAACCAGAGGTGAGTTCTTTGAGGCCGGGGTGGGTATGATGTGCGGGCAGCCCCCAGCAGCCATCACGGGGCGGGGCACAGACCTGTGCTCACAACAATATCAGCTGAAAGATGAGACGTCCCAGAACAGGCTGCCAACCTCAGTCAAGAGCAGCATCATGCTTGGCACCCAGTAGGTGCTCAATAAATACCAGCTGTTCTGACTTGGGTCTTTATTCTGGACTGATACAGCTGTATACACTTGAGCTGTTCCCAAAGTGGGGGAGGGTCTCCTTTTCAATTAGACCCCCGGATGCCCCCCTCCAGCTGGGAGAGGCTCTGTTCTGTCCTGACCCCCTGGGGGAGGTGGTGCTGTGTGCTCAGCCCAGGACTTGCAAACCGACCCAAAGCTTCACGAGTACTTGATTATATGAATACCCTCCCTGAAAGCCCATTATTAATGAGAACAGCTAATTTTTGTGTGTGCCAGGAACCCTTTTGAGGACTAATAGACATTATCTTTTCAGAAACAAGGTGCAACTGCCTCACAGGCACTGACATCACCCATTCTACGGACAAGCTGAGCCCTGGTAAGGGATGCTTGGGCTCTGGTGCCAGGCTGGGGCCTTGCTCTCACCACTGAATATGAGCTCTTTGGTCTCTCCCCAGTTCTGTGTAATCTCTGAGGTCTTTCTCCCCCAGAGAGAGACAGCAGGTAAGGCAGGTGTGTGCTGAATTCTGCCGTGATCATAGGGCTCTGTGGCCCAGTTGGTGCCTGAGGACCAACTCTGCTTTGGCTGGCTTTTTAAAAACCGTGATAGACATTAAAGATGGTTTTATTTAGAGAAGTTAATGAGTTTCTGTAGATGGCAGTATGGGGATCCCTTTTAGTGTTCTGTGCACCCTTCCCCTTGCTCTGTGAGCACTGCTACAATCTGGCCCCTGGGAATGTCTTCAGGGGGCCACCATGGGCCTTCAGGAGTCCTTGCTGCTCTACTCTGCACAAAGAACCAGACGTGTCTGGGAGTCTCCTCTCCCAGGGGCAACTTGCACCCCAGAGCTCCCCACAGGTCCCCTTGGGGATCAGGCTGAGGCTGAGACTTTGCCTAAAACTGTTCCCCTGCAAGGCTTCTCTTCCTCCATCCTCTTCCCAATCCCCTTCACTGTCTACCTGGGGGCACACCTTGATACAGCCCTTCACACACATCGACGCCTGTGTTGACATCTTAGAAGGGCCCCACCTAAGGCAGCTTCTTCCTTGCAGACTTTAGCCGAGTCTTCATTGTGCTGTAATGATTTCCCAAAAGGCAGTAAAGGCAGGCAATGTTTTGCAAATGATTTTAACTCCAACACCACTTGGTTTCTTGTAACTGCCTGTGTGACCAAGTGTCTTCTCTGGGCTTCCTGAACTAAAACGGAAGTCTAAGAAATTGTTCAAGGCCACACAGCGGCCGCAAGGGATCACTGCCTCTGCACAGATCAGGTACCCCGGGGTTGTTGCTAAGGGCGATGCAGGGCAGAGGAAAGCAAGGGAAAAAGGCTCGTTCCAAAGAATTGTAAAATTTATTGTATAAGTATTGCAGCTTTTCAGAATGTCATCATTGCCACTAATGATTATTGATACACAACAAGCGATTTCATCAGGCCTGTGGCTTGGCAAATACAGAGTCTTACACAGCAGTGTGGGCACTGCACCCAGCGTGCCACGGAGAGTTTACGTAAGTTTAACTTGAACAGAACTTGGGAAACAGGGCTGCAAAGGAGAGTGGCTCCAATGCCAAGAACACAACATACAGTGCTGCTATCAGCACAGCCACCATGGAATCAGGCAAACAGGAACACACTGTGTCCTTCCGAGCTCTATATTACAGCAAAATCTGAAGCGTGGTTTCCAGAAAAAAAAAAATTATCTCATCATCAAGGTATCTTATGGATCTGGAAGCTTGGTGCTGCACATACAAAAAGAAAATGAAACAGACAATTCAGAGAGGACGGGCAAGGGCAGGGATGGGGGTTGGTTCTCACCCTGCCCGGTGTTGGCTGGATGCAGAGAGAGGATTCAATTTCAGCTCTTTGTGAAAACACTGGGCTTTGGGATAACATGAATGGCTCTTAGTGCACTTTGCTGAGTCTGTCTGCATAGACCCGGGCTTTGCAGGGGAAACGATTTTCCTCTGGAGGAGATGTGATGATTGACATGAAGAATAGAGAAAGCCGAGGTCTGCCACTATTTCTGACCCCAACCTGGTCCCCCTCCAACCAGCCACCGCAGAGGACCCTACTAGCTTTCTACTGGACAACGGGGACCTCCCAAAGGATGATCAAAAGAAACGGCCAACATCTAGAGGAAAAAAATGCACGCCCCTAGGGGTCCAGCAGGAAAACCAAGAGCTTAGCTCCTGCAGTAGTTTCCAGAAACACATCCCACTCATTTTCTTGGGGGGTGTGTACCCCAGCCTTGACAAGCTGCTCCACTGTAAAGTTCTGCAACTGTCATGAGCTGGGTGTGCTGAGCTCAAGGGCACTGCAGCAGAGGCCAGGCCTGGACTTCAGAACTGGGGCGTGAGCAGAGGGGTGTGCTCTTCCCCTAAGCCAGCTGAGGTCAGGAACCCACACCTCTGCTCTGTCCTACCTTGTTGCAAATATGGCAAATACAGACCATCTCACCATGCAACAGGGTTCAGTGCGGCTCGAGGACCTTGGGAATGCTGCGGCCTGGCTCTTGGCGGGTGCTACTCACACAGATGAGGTCCACTTCCAGGTTTACAACTCAGATGTGAATTACACATGGTGCTTGACCACAGAGGATGCAGGGCAGGCGGGACAGGACAGACAGGGTGAGGGACATTGGGAGAACAGCAGCAGCCCTTTGTGACTGAGTTGGGGGCCAGTCCTGGTGAGCGAGGCACTGTCTGGGAAATGCCCCCGCCCAGCGACAAGAGGTCGACCGCATCCTCAGTAAGGCACTAGGGAGACGCTTCACGTAAAGATAATGTTTTTCAAAAAATTTTATCTTATAAATGTGTCCCTGTACCTTTCAGGGTGAAATATATTGATTTCTCTGCACGACCTATAAAAGAATCCTCTCTGAGAGAGAAGAAAATTTTAGGCTGAAGACCCCATTGAGAGGCAGGCTTTGTCATCAGGGTACAAGAACTTTCTGGTAAGTGGATACTCAACAGGCCATATTCATCTGCTGGTCACCATGTCCTTAGGATGACATATATAAATAGAGCTCAAATAGTCAGAATTTCAAAACTGTTGGCAGGTTTTTGTTTTCAAGTAATAAAAAAGCTGCTAAAAAACTAGTTACTACCTCTTACCCCATTAGCCTACCAGTTAGTACTGTGCGGGAAACGGAGACGCCTCTGTGGGATGGGAGGGGTGGGGGCTTGCTCTTCAGCGGGGGACTCACCCCGGGGAGTGTTAGCAAGTCCTGGGGGAAGGCAGGGCCTCTGGCTCCAGCCCCTGTCCCTGGCAGACCCCAAGGAGCCCGCGCCCCACCCTCCTGTTGTCGCTATTTGCTCAGTCACACTTCTTCACCTACATGCTGCCAACAAGCGGTCCCGCCAAACCGAAATCAACTCAATCGTTCTGTGTCTGATAAAAATGCTTCTGAAAACACAGATAAATAAACACATCAAACATGATTCTTTCCCCAAGGGAAGGGAGTGAAGATGCGGGACAGAAGGTAAGGAATTCTGCTTCTAAAACTCTTCACGTGTCCTGGGAGAAACGTGGCCGTGTCACTGGTTCATCTCTGGTCTTCTGTTTATTGGCCTGTTAAGTGAGGATCAATACATAAAGAGAATGACAGGGATGAGGTCAGATTCCTAATACTTTGGGCCTTTCCTATATGCCAGTGGACTGCACTGACCGTAGCCAATATATTCTGGGGTCAGCTGAACTGCCACCCAGCATTGTGCAAACAAGCCATCTGCACCCTTCCGGCCATAGGTGCAGGAAGCGGCTGCAACTTGCAGGGAGCACCTCCAGCCCCTTCCTACGGGGGGCTTCGTGGTTGAAAAAACAGAAGGAAAGCTATGATGCTTTCGGGAGCAGCTCATTTCCATCCGGGGAAAGGCGAAGCCACTCTGGAACTCGGTGCTCTGAGTAACTGTCCTATTTCATTTGCAATACAAAGGCTGTTCTGGCCCAGAGGGGAAAAAATGGGTCTCCTTGGGTGGGGAATGTATAACGAGGTAATAACCTATCACTAGACAGAAGCTTCCACTCTGCAGGAAAGTGGCCCCTCTGGAAGCCTCTCCCTAAACTCCGTGTGGAGCCCACCCTCTGCCTGACGTCGACCGTATAATTCTGACATTTCTCCCTTAAAAGTCTCAACAGACATGACAGAACTTTCCATCAAACAAGCACTGACATATTTATATTAAAAAATAGTGCAAAAGCTCAACATTTATATAAATAACTCTAAACCCCTGCTTTTTTTTCTTTACAAGGTAATACACACTTTCTGAGTTGGCACTCAAAATTGCCATTTTTTTCTCTTCTAGTTCAGAAAACAACTTTTTTTTTTAATAGGCCTCTTCTAATACAAAAATACTCCTGCCCTCACACACAGTTTCTCTTATTTCATATATATTTATATATATAATATTGCAGATCTTTAAACAAAGGTTTTGTGCAAATATGTTTTTAAAGTTAAGTGAAATCATCATAAACAAAGAAAGAAGCATCCACACAACGCAGCTCAACTAGAAACAGAAAAGACTAGGGTAGAATTGTTTTTCCTCTTTTGCCTTCAAGACACAGCTCAACAAAAAAACGTGGTTTTTTGCAAGCTTTCTTAGCTTGTGCATTCAGACCAGACAGAACACGTAAATATTTATACACAGAGGTGGGGAGAGAATGGTTATGCGCCGCATTTTCTGTGTTGCCCATGCTCCGTTTTCTCTCTTAAGAAGGGCGGAGTGTTTCGCCTTTTCCCTGGTGCTGCCCCAGCCCCAGCCCCAGCCCCGAGATTCCTAGAGAGGGTGTCCTTTCTGTTTATCCTTCTCTTTGCTCCAGGCGGCTGTGCTTTCCAGGGGAGCGATGTGTGCGTGGTGGAGCTGGGGCCCCTCCAGCAAGGAGGGCGGCCCACTGCTCTGCTGGTGCTGGAAGGAGGAAGCCCCCGGGTAGTGCCCGATGACCTCGCTGTAGGTGGGAGGTGGCCCTTCCATGCGCCCGCCACCTCCGTAGCACGTGGCACTGATGCCCGAGTTACTGCTGGGTGGGCAGGGGCCGCCCAACATGGCACTGTCCATCAAGTCGCTGTCGAAGATGGTTCTGTTTGGGGGTGCACGCACAGACTCCCGGTTTAGCTCCAGCTGCTGCTCGGGGTCCCGCAGCTGGAGAGTGCAGGGGCCCTGGTAGGGTGGGGGCTCCTCCCCATCTGACAGTGAGATGGTGGGCGGCAGGTCGATCTCGTGCTGCAGGTATGGGTATGTGGGCTGGAAGCGGTGGAAGCGGTCTCGCTGGGTGAAGGGGGGCACGGCCAGGCGGTCGGAGGGCCTCGGAGGTGCATAGACCTGTGGCTGGAGGGCAGAGCGGCTCATGAGGTCCCCCAGAAGCAGGGCCCAGGACAGGTGTCCGGCTGCCTGTGACTCTGCCCTCTGGGGAAAGGGCACCAGGGCAGCAGGATGGGCTGGGGAGCAGCTGAGCCTGCAGCCCAGCCTCACCTGATCTCTGGGGAGCCCTGGAGTGTGAACACCAGCACAGATGTGGAAGAGAAGCAGCCCTGACTTGCACCTGGCAGACTGTGGGCTGCTTCCTTGGGGGCGAGGGTGTCTGATGTCCGGGTGGGGAGGACCCCACAGCCAAGGACAGTTCTTCAGAGAAGGGCAGAGGCATGAGCCTTCAGCAGCCAGCCTTCCAGCTGGGGGACGTACCTCCAGCCTGGTGAAGGGGACCGGCTGGGCAGGTGCCATCAGTGTCCATTACAACAGCTTTTGGGGACAGGAGGGAGGGGTAGAAGGCGGGAGAAGGGAGGCGGCACTGGGTCTCACCTCTGGGACTCCGTTCCCTGACACGGTGCTCTCTGAGGGCCAGAGGCATCCTTCCTGTGTGGGGGAGAGGAGGCATGGTCAGTGAGATGGGCAGAGGTGGAGGGCAAAGGGTCAGCCAGCTTGGACCCCAAGATCTTCCTTTCAGAATTAGATCTGGTACCCACACACCACCCTTCACCCATCCCCCTCCAGCTCCGGGGGCCCCGGCCACTCCTCAGAGGTGATGATTTCTAGGCTCCCTCTGCCAACTCCCAGAAATGCATCCTCCACCCTGCTTTCCAAAACACAGATCTGATTCGTGGGTCACTCCTCACAACCCTCCAGCACCTCCCCTGGACCTTAGGATAAATCCAAATTATCTGGTGAACTGGTTGCAAAGGAAGCCCTCTGGGCTGTGACCACCACTTGCTTGCAGTGTGACCCTGGGCAAGTTCCTTAATTTCCAGAACTTAGGGTGTGGCTCATGTCAACTACTGGAGTGCATGTGGCCCTCAAGTGAGTACCTGCAGTGCTGGGAGCCACAATGACATGCTGTCTAGTACATCACAGCACGTGGCTGCCCTGCTGCATGGCTGGCTCCTTCTCCAGGACCCCTGTAGATTTTCTCTGACACCATCTCTAAGGGCCTTTCCCAGGAGCAATCCTGCCACCTGCTAATTTCCTCTGCAGCCTCTCCATACCTGTAATCATTTTGTCTACATATTTAACTCTTTACAGCCTGTCTCTCCCTCTATATAACCGTGAGTACAGTTTTTGGATGAAATACAGGAGAGTTAATGAACAAAATGCCTCGTATAGCTGCTCTACCACAAAGCAGTGACTGGCTCAGTCACAGGTGGAATGCAGCCCCACTTCTGCGCCGAGCACGTAGTTGCCACCTCATGAAGCTCATACCCTCTGCTCTGGGTAGGGGCCTGTGGCTCCGCAGGAATCCAGGTGGCTGGTGCTGGACTCGTTTGCCCGGGATGGCTGTGGGGGATGACCGGCCGCTGCACAGCTCGTACAAGTTTAAGTAACACTGCGCTTCTTCACCCCTAGTGTCACCTGTGGGCAGCGCCTGCCCTATCCAGGCCACCCCGACCCCAGCCCCGGCTGTCGGATGGAGCGTGGGGAGAGCCCCCCTTGCAGGAAGGCCAACAGGACAGGGAACAGCTACAAAAACCAGGGCCCTTGGTTCTCGCCAAGCTGGAAGGATGATCTACACCTCACGGGGTAGAGACCTAAGGATAAGGGAAGGGCCGCATGCCAGGATCAGCATGGGGCAAACCTGGACGCTGCTGGCATGTGGTGGCAGCCCTGGGCCTGGAGGAGGGATGAGATGTAACTGATTATATAATGAACTGTACACATTCAAGATAAACAATTTGGATAGGTTTTAGCATATGTACACACCAGGAACCCATCACCACGATCAAGATAACATATTCATCACCCTCAAAGTTTCCTTGGGTGTACGTTTTCTTGAGGGTTCCCAGGTAAGATGATTCTCACCTGCAGTCGGGGTGCAGGGTGGGGGGAATTTGCCCAGAGGCCTGCAATGTCCTGCATGGCCACCAGGGGGCTCTGTGGCTCTCAAAACTGTCCCACCAGGAACACCATATACCTATAAAGACTCTTTGGGGGTCTACTGTGTTCCCAGGCATGGCCATGCAGCGAGCAGGCTCACACCATTGCTGTTGACATGGTCATCCATGGCCATTTTGTTAATGATATCAGTAATGTATCCGCCACAGCCTGGGGGCGAGGCGCTGCTCTAAGCACTCCTTGCAGCACTAGCCCAGTCCTCCCAATGAGCCCACAAAGGCAGGCTGAGGCCACTAAGCAGGGCCAGGCAGTAGGAGGCAGTGCTGGGAGCCAAGCCTTTACCTGCCTGCCTCGAGACCCACCGTCTCAGGCCGGAGGCTCTCTGACACCCAGTTGGGCCCCAGCACAGCCCGTGTGAGTCAGGAGGCAGGTGGGGGCGCCCACCTGCTCTCTGGAAGGGTCAGGAGCCGTGGTCTGGGAGGCGGGGTGGGGACGCAAGCAGCGAAGGCCTGCCTGGATGAGATGGGGTTCCATCCAGGTGCTGCCTGGAGCCCTCCTGTGAGGCCCTCTGTCCCAGACCCTGCATGATGTGGCCCCAACAGCCTCTTCCCACCACTGCTCCCCCACCTCTCACCCCTGTCCTAGCACCAGGGTTCTCCACCTGGTTATACAGTGGCACCATCCAGGGAGCTGAAGTAAACACCAATCAATGCCCAGGGGGACCCCACTGTAGACTCCAGAGCCACCCACCAAACTTATCACCTGACCACTTCCAGTATGTGCACCCGGAGGCCACCTCCTCTGGGAAGCCTTCCAGAAACCACCCACCGGGGCCTGCTCCCCAGTCTCCCACAGCATCTCAGCTCCTATCTCAGCCTGGCCCACTGTACCCGAGTAGGTCCCTCCTTCCCACAGAACCTGTGTCTTACTCACCTTACTCCCTAACTCAGTGAAGGGCCCTCATATCATTCCTGACACCCCTCCCTACCCCTGCCCCATCTGCCCACCTGAGCACCTGGACTCTGCCCCCAACAGACAGCCCAAGGCCACCCCCCTCTGCTCCCGACCTTAGCCCAGGCACTGAGCTGTCTGCCTGGTGGGCGGCGAAGGCCACCTGCACCAGGGGGTTGGCGGAGCTGCGGGTTCTCAGGAGTCCCCAGGGGTCTCCTGCCCCTGCTCTAGCTCCCCGCCCCCCAGGTGGTCCTCCCTCCTCCCTCTCACACGGACACCCACCCCGCCACGCCTCACGTACACCCCCCGGGGCCCGCCGGGTCTTCAGCAGCTCCGACTTGGTGCCAAGCCCCACTTCCCGGCAGCCTTCCGCAGCCCGTTCATACTGCCACTGATTTCCCCTCGATGGGTTTTCCTACCTGTGTGAGGGCTGACGGCACCACCGCGCCCCACGCAGCTAGGGGGCTTCACTCGCCAGCTACCAGCCTGGGCCCCACCCTTCCCAGAGCCCGGGGACATGCACGCTCATCACCCGGCCTCCAGAGCTGGGCCCCAGCCTCTTTCCTGATCAACCCGACCTGCCCCTCGCGTCTCCAGGTGGGTGTGCCATCTCCTGAGGGCTCCCTTGGCCCTCCCTGCCCACCGGCCCCCTCTTGGCCTGTAACTGCCTGTCTACACCGACTCATCCCCCTCTCCCTGGGGCAGCGGCGGCTCCTCTGTGTCCCCGGGCCCAGCGTCAGGCGGGGCGCATGCAGGTGCTCCTCGAGTGTGTGAGCTGCTGTAGGCCCCATGCAAGCCATCTCTGTGCCTCTGAACAAGGGTGGAAGCAGGTCCAAGTGGGACCTGACACGGGCTTCGGAGTCGCAGGGGGCCCTTCCCAGTCCTGGGGCTTCCTACAGTCAGTCAGTCACTCCCCAGCCTCAAACTGGGCTGAGAGCTCTCCGCACGCAGCAGCTGAGGCCTCCCAGCCCATCCCTCCCTGTCTCTGGACTCGCTTTCTCCACCCACCTGCCCCCTCCCCACACTGCCACCTGGCTGCACCTCCGGCTCCCCTCGCCCCTCCTCTCCCTGACACTCAGACTCCTCCTCTTTCCAAATGCTTCCTGGAGGTGGGCTCATCCCACCTGGCCGTGGCTTCCCCACTTAGACCACAGGTCCACCAATTATTTCTGTAAAGGGCAAGAGAGTAAAGTATTTTCTGCTCTGTAGCCTAGGTGGTCTGTCACACCACCAACACTGCTGCAGGGCAAACCAGCAAAAGGTCTTCATGGGAATGGGCATGGCTATGCGCCAATAAAACTTTATTTACAAGAACAGGCAGCTGGCCCCTGGTCTATGCCTTGATGACTCCTGACCTCGCTTCACCTCCAGACTTGGAGCCCCATGGTTGCTCTGTGAGGCCAGAATGGAACCCTGGACTTGTCTCCGGACTCCCCAGCAACACTCTTGCCCACCTTGGGGAGTGGGATTGCACTCGCCAAGCTTGGCAAGCCCAACACGGGGTGCTCATAAATGTTTGCTGAAAGAGTGAAACAGCAGGATGCCGGTTAGGACTCAGCCTGCCACAAGGGGCCCTGGGGAGCTCCTGGAGGCCGCAGCACCGGACACAGGCCTTTGGCCCCCTCTCTTGGCCTGGCTTCTGTCTGGCCTCCTGCTTGTGGGGAGCAGGAGACCCTTGCCACGGCTAATCTGGGGACAAAAATGATGAAGGGTCACCTCATCCAAGGCCCTGCCTGAGCCTCTGATTCCAGAGGAGGAGAGACAACCCCAGAGGGTCCTCCTGAAAAGGGCTGGGGCAGGAGAGCCGGGCCAGGGGTGGGCCCAGCCCCAGGGGACGGCAGCTGGGTCTGGCCTCTCAGGGGGTTTATGGGGCCCTGAGACGCCTCAGACACGCCCTGTCTGGCAGGGAGTCCCCAGGGGAGCCACTGCACTTATCAGGCCTAAGGAGGCTCAGTGTTTACCCAGCCAGGTAGCACTGGGGACCTGGGCAGGTGGCTGGCTGTGTGGGGGTGGGGCTTTCTTTTAGCCTCAAGCGTCCAGGAACCAGGGCCCGCATCCTCACCTCCCTCTGGGCACTGAGTCCCAGGTGCTGGTCTGCTGCTCCGTGGTAACCAGGAGCCTTCACACAAGAGTCTGCCATTTCCCAGCACTCGGCTACTGTCGCCCTCCCCGTGACCATGCAGGCAGACAAGAGAAAGGCTAGCCTCACCCATTCTACAGATGTACACATGGGGGCAGGGCAGGGCCGAGGTGACCCACCCAGAGCACGCGTCTTCTCCTCTGTCCCAGAGCCCTCACTTGCCCCAGCATTCGAGGGGGAACAAAGCTGGCCGGGGCTCCTTCAACTACCACACAAATGCTGTGTGGCCAGAGGTGCCCACCTTCCTGAGCCCCAGTCACTCCTCCATAAAATGGGGTTTCTGGGCTGCTGCAAGGCCAGGGGGTGGGGACCGCCAAGCACAGATGTGGCACATGTGTACACATGGTCATGCAGGTAACTGCACTGGCAAATAAACACACAGGCGAGCCAGGCAGCTGAGGCCGCAATTCCTTCAGAGCAGCAGAGCCTGCCGAGTGCCTCCGGACGCACACTGGGCCTTGGTTTGGGGCCCCCAGGGTGCCCATTAGAGGGCCCCGAGAGGATGCTCCTTGCCCTGGCAACCTGGTGACATGCCGAGGCAGCAACCTGATGCAAGCAAGACGCCTGAACCTGTGGGGGACAGGCCCACAGACTCTGTGCACTGCTGCCAAGCACAGGCGCCCCCTAAGAACTGGAAGGCCAGGCCCAGAACCACTTCCTTGTTCTGTCACTGTCCTCCTGGGATCCCCCAAACAATGGGATCAAAGACGTGTGCCTCCCACAAGCTACCTTCTCGCTCTAATTCCCAGCCTGCCCTTCAGACAGCCGCTTCTGTTCCAGGCTGTTAATTACAGGCCCAGAGATGGAAACCGTTTGGGGGATGAACTCTGCACCTCCCTTGGGTCTGTCTGCCGAAGAATACCCAGCTGCAGGGCAGAGCTGAGCCACAAGGGCACAAGTGACCGAGGGGACTGTGTGCTCAAAGCTGGGGACAGCCAGGCTCCCACGCAACCTGCTCCAATTTGGGGGTGTCTTAAGGGAATATTCCTAGCACTTCCAGAATGCCTGATGGTACTCACAATTCCAGTAACACATCAAAATGCAGTGGGACACCTCCGCAAGGACCCCTCCAGCCCAGTGTCTGTCCTCACCCTACACACAGCCTGATGCTCAGTGACAGCCCTGCAGAGAACTCCTGTCTGTCCCGAGCCAGCCAGCAGGCAGTAACCATGTGGGATTTACCACAGCCATTTCCCCCAATGCCTGGGAGGGTTCTGGGCACACAGAGGGTGTCTGGAGGTATCTGGCCAATGGATGGACAGACAGATGGCTGGATGAGTAAACGAAGTGCATGCAGAGTCCTGGCCAGAAATGCATGGGCCTGCGCTCTGTGCTACGCCTTGAGTCCTCTGGTGGTGGCACGACCATTGGCAACCTTTTCACAATGAATGGGTCTGAAGCCCCGTTTCACAAATCGGGGACTGGTCCAAGCACACATGCCTAGTAGCACTGCAGCTGCCATTAGACTCAGGCCCTAGGAAGGGTCTTTTCCTGGGTGACCTGTTGCCTCCAAGCCCTGAAAGGTCTGTGGCCCAGGGGATTTCTCAAGGGATGGCTGCCTCCTTTTTGTCTGGGTCTCCACTGTGTCTCTGCCTGCACCGGAAACGCCCTCCTCCACGGCCGGCCCCACCACCACCCGGGGCTGCTGGCTGCCTCCTTGGTCCAGTCTCATTCCTCCAGCTGGGACAGCCCACCTGGGGCACCATGGGTGCCTCTACAAGGAGCGGCCCCTGCCATGGGGGTGGACGGGAGGGCAGGGCACTTACTGAGGACAGGGCATCTTCTCTTCTCCTGCCCTGGCTGTGCCGGCCGATGAAGGAGCGTGCGGACAGCTTGTAGTGGCTCAGCAGGCACGTGATCACGACCACCATCACCATCACCACCACCACGATGATGGTGATCTCAACGAACTCCAGCTCCGCTGCAAGACCAAGGGGGCCCGTGAGTCTCGGGGAGCGGGTACAGGCTGGGCACCCCGCCCTTCACACGCTCCAGCACGGATGCAGATGACACGCCAACACAGACACACGCACATACCCACACACCCGTTTGCACCCGCACACACGCCAGCCTGGACCAGACAGGAGGGAGCGAGGACCCCCGTCTCGCGAGGAGGCCTCAGGAAAACCATTCTGGTGGCTGCAGATGCTGCAATTCGCGTGTCTTTCTTTGGGTTTTGTTTTGTTTTTCCCCTAGAAGGCGGAAAAACCCTCAAGTGCTGGAAAAGGAAGGAGGCTATTTTGGTCCTGCCAGAGCGGGGCGGTTTCTGCTGACTCAAGCGGGTCTGGTCGCTGCGGCCCTGCAGCTGGCTGTGGTCGGTGCCAGCAGAGCCCCCAGCAGCAGGCGAGCTGCCAGTGCTGGTCCCACAGGGACCCGGGTGGTGACAGGGCAGATGGGGCACCAGCCAGCAGTGCCGGCACAAAGCCCCACCAGCCTCCGCCAGCCCAAGGCTGCCCACCAGCCACACAGCTGGCCAGATGCACACAGGAATGTGCCTTCCCCGATGGGAGGGCAGGCAGGAATAGGCCCCAGGCCGCTGCGGCTAACAAGCGATCGGCCAAGGGCTCCCCGGGGCACAGGTGCAAGCTCAGGGCCACTGAGCGCTCTTCCTACCCCCACAAGACCACCAGACAAAGCTGGCAGAGCAGGGGCTGCGGCCATGTCCGGGGCTCCGGCCACTGCCAGTGGGCCTGCCAAACTCCTCACCCTGTGAGGACAGCCCCTCCTGCCACCAGCCTCAGCTTCCCTGCAGCTTCCAGGGGGGAAGGAATGCATCCCAGGTGGGAATGGCTCTGTTCACGACACGACAGAAGATTCTGCAGACAGGACAAGCTGTGGCCACTGCCCCTCCCCACCAGCCCACCTTCTGGGGCCACACTATACATTTCCCCAACTGCCAATGCTTACCTGCCACCTGTAGGTCAGGTGGGTCTGCTCCCCCACAGGGGATATGTGGCATCATCTTGGGGACATGAATGGCTGACACAACAGGAGGTGCTCCCAGCATCTAGTGGATGGGGGCCAGGAGTGTCACTCAGCATCTTACAGTGCACAGGACGCTCCAAGACCGAGAATGACCCAGTCCACAGCGCCGGGGCAGACGATCCGGGGACAGGGCTGAGCCGGGGACAGCCACTTTTATCACCTCTTCTCACAGGTGAGGACACCGAGATCCAGGGGCAAACATGGACTCATGTAGCTCTGGGGCCCAGCACCCGCTCAGGGGCAGCTCCTCCCACTCCAGCACCCGCTGGACGTCCTCCTCTGTGTCTAGGAATCCAGTCTGGAGCCTGGGTCTTGTCTCTGGCCCTGGGTGGAACTGCATCCCCCCCTGGCCCTGGAGAGGCCAGCAGGGAGGATGAAGTAGCCAGGGCCTTTGGTGAGATTTCCTGGGCCCGGAGAAGTCTGGGGCCCTGTCGGGCAAAGGCCAGGCCTGGGGGCCTCGGGGCCAGGGACTATGGCCACACCTCCTGCCTCCCCAGACAGGCTGGCCCAGGACCTGGGCAGTGGGGTCTGATTCTGAAGGGCCCAGAACTTGTCTGCTAGGGCCTGGGATAATGCCATCCACTCAGAGGACACACAGGCCTGCTTTGTGCAACACCCATGCCCTCCCTCCCCAGAGAAGCCCGCAATTCCCCTCCCCAGCCGTGCACTCTTCACCCCAGCCAGGACCACGTCAGTGGGCACTTCTCTGGCCCCTCCCCTTGCTGTCTCCAGGGGCCCTGCCCACGCCACCAGGCCTGGAGGAAGGGGGGTGGTTCGGCTGGCTGCCTGTCCCCAGCCACGGCAGCCTGCAGGCCTCGGCTAGACCACTGCCCTCCTGGTGTTGTCTGGGGCCCAGAGGGCAGCAGCTAGACAGGGGCTGAGGTAACCGGGCTGCTGAGGGCCAAAAGGGGTCAAGAGATGAGGCCCCAGCAGCCAATACTCCACGGGGCAGGGCTGAAAGCCCAGAAGGTCTGATTTCTGGGGGCACTGTTCAGAGGGTGAGAACTGCCCTCAGAAATGAGCACAGGGCCCCTGAGAGCACCCGTGCGCCCACTCTGGCCCCCGACCCGGACCACACGTCCATGAAGGCCCGCACCCAGACACGCCACACGGGGAGGGAAGGTAAGCTTTCCGTAAAGGAACCAGTTGATTTCTGGGCTGTATTCTGGACAAAGGCCTGGTTGGGGTGCAGGCCCAGGGGAGGAGGACTCCTGTGAGGGCACAGAAGCTTCAGTGTGATCCTCAGCCGGCTCTGCGTGACCCTGGGCTCCACCTTGGAGCCCATGCCCGCTTCCGCATGCCCCACACAGCTGTGTGTGGTGATGGGCTCGGCACTTTGGCAATGTTCCCTCAAGGTGACTGGTCAATGGGGGGGGGGGCTCCCCAGCACCCCAGCTACAGCAAAACAAGGGCGCATCCAGTCCCCAGCCCCACTCAAAGGGACAGAGCTGCAGCGGCCAGCCTCTTTACAGCAGCTCGTGCGGGCTGCTCAGCCCCCAGCCCCACCCGGGCCTGGCCACCTGCCTGACCCCATCTGTTGGCCCCTTGGGCAGCTTGGGCCTCACCCCACTCCCACGGCAGGCACTGCGAATCGAGCATGAGCTTGATCCCCCCAGGTCCACACTCGGCTCTAGACAGGCTCTGCCAGGTGAAACCCAGCAGGCCAAACAGGACAGTGCCCGCCGCAGGCCGGCCTGCACTGCCACCTCTCCCTGTCTCTCCAGAAACCAGAAACGCCTGTGAGGCTGCTGGGGCCCTTTCCGCCTACGACACATTCAAGAGGTTAAAAACACTAGGCAGGTCAGAGCCTACAGGGCCCTGGCTTTAGGGATTCTGGCCAAGAGGTGGAACCACGCCAATCTTGCCTCAGTTTCCCCAGTCTGGCAGATGTCCCCTTTATCTGCAGAGATCAAAGGTCCAGCATAGGTGACAGGTCCTACCACTGCCCCCCACACTCTGCTCTCAAGTCTCATGTGACCACAGGACTCAGCCAAAGCCGGGCCACAAAGGGGGATGAAGCAAGAAGCGGCAGGCAGGCAGCACCCCAACCCAAAATCTGTACTCACGCAAATATGGCAACTACTTTGTTAGGGTTCCAGCAGTTATGGCATATGCACTGCCCTGAGCTATGGGCCTGGCCCTCTGCTCCAGTCTGAGGTGGGTGCCATTGCTATTGCCACTTTGCAGGTGAGCAAACTGAGGCACAGGGGGAAGCTGCCCTGGATGGAGCACCTGGGAAGAGCAAGGCTGGGTACTGTACCCGGAGCTTCCCCACGGGCTTGCTCTCCTGCTAAACTCCCCCAGTTTTCCCCAAGTGTGTGCTAGGTTCCCCTCCCCACGCGGGAGCACCTGTGAGGACGCCTGCTAGGGCTCAGGACAGGGCAGGAAACAGCAGCTGCTCCACTGTCACTATTCCCCTGACACCCGCCTCTGGGCTGATGCCCTGGGAATGCTGAGGATCGCCCAGCCGTCTCCTTGGTCCGGTGTGCCCTACTGGCCTCAGGGTGGGGGGGCTGAGGCAAGGTCAGCCCAAAAAGTACACCGAGGGTGGCAACTGGACTCCAAGCACCAGGGACTTACGGCCACGTGTCCCTGCTCCAAGGACCTGGCTCCAAGAACAGGGGCCTTTGGGAAAAAGCACCCCATTTGCTCACTTTGTTGGGGGAGTCAGGTCTGCGCAGAACTGGGGAGGGAGGAGCAGCTTGCCATTTTTCTTTGTAATTTCCCCGTTGGGGTGGGGGATGGATGTATGGGGGTGGCCGAATTCATTTTCACATGCAAAGTAAAGTCGCTCTAATTTAATTTAGCATCCTCTTTCCTGCTGAATAATTTCAAACTAACAGGCTCGTCCAGCTCGTCGGAGTGGCCTGGCTCCCCCTTCTGCCTTCTCCTCCAGGGACAGACACAGTCACGTGGAGAAGTGTGCAAGCATATCTCTGGTCCCTGCCCATCTGGTATGAGTGAGGAAGGCTGTGCACGCACACCCCACCAAATGCCAGGCACGGCACAGCCAGAACCCTTATGGGTATCACCTGGCTGGGTCCTCAGAGTCACTCTGAGGAGGAGATACTAACGTGACACCCCCAACCTTCCAGGTGAGGAAACGGAGGCTAAGAGGTGAGGACACTGTGGAGCACCCCTCAGCCCAGCACCCAGACCCCAGCTCAGCTTTGAAAAGCCACTTTGGCTGACTGCCCCGCACCCCAGGCCGGATCAGGACTGCCTGGGCATCACCCACCACACGGTCCATGAAGCCAGTAATGTGGCCGGAGGTACCCACATCACTGCAAGCACAGAGGAAAATCACCAAAGGGTCAGCAAGGACCCTCGTGCCAGGCACTTGGGGGAGCACAGCACACCTCCCAGGGCACTGCATACGGATACTAACAGCCCCACCTCCTCCACGGCTACCTGAGCGCCCTGTGCCTCACCGCGCCAGGACCGCCCCTCAATGCCGGAACAGCCCAGACATGCCACACCACGGTGAGCAGTCAGTGCAGACCTGACTCCACGGCCACACCATGCTCCTCCCCTCCTCCTGCGGTGGGGCCCTGGGACACTCTCAACACATGGTTTTAAAAATAAAATTAAAATTAAATTGTGGCTTGAAAAGGAATTCTGCTGTATGAAAACTTACCAAATGCTCAACAAGCTTTGTAACAGATATGGAAAGAATATACAGGATTACACTGTGACGTGGGGATATCACCCCATTAAATATGACCTGGCAGGTTCAATTCGGTAGGAAATCTGTGGCTTCCACTGGGGACCACACTGCAGGGATGGCGAAGCCACTGTGGTTCAGAGCCGATGATCTGGGTGGAGTCAAAAATGCAACTCTTTGGCATCCAAGTGTGTGTCCCCATGTTCTTGGGGATGGAGCCTCGGTTCAAACCCCAGCTGAGCCACCTGCCAGCTGTAAATGGGGAGAGGGCTGGTGTAGGATTCGCTAACATGTTCAAAGAATATGCCTCGTCCCTACAGGTATTGTAAGAGGGTGCAATTTGGTTAATAACCAGAGTGGCAGTTGGGGGCTGGAGCTCATTTTTCTTCCTCAGCTGGAGAGCTGGGCTAGAGTCCACCTGGCTCCTGCTAGCCCACAGGAGGTTCCAGACCAGACGACCCCGCCACCGCCTGCCCCTCTTGTGTCTGCGCCCGGTGGAGGGGCGGCCGGCATGCTTCCTGGTTAACAAGCAGCCGTGCAGGCGGCCCTGTCTGGCCTCCCGGCCACGCACTGAGGAATTAGGAATTGACGCTGTCTGAAATTTATGAAAATCTAATCTTGTTAGGTCTGCCTGGATGAGACCCGCTGCGGGCGGGCCTCATTGTCATTCCACGGAGTCCAGCCTGCCGGGGGGTTCCAGCCACTTCATTTACTGCCCCTCCTCCCCTGCCCACCCCACTGTATTTGAATAAGAACCCAGCTTCTGCCCCCAACTAGAATTTCAAATAAAATTGAACCAGACGTCAAAGGATTAACTTTCTGATCGCTCCTGGTGCCATTTCAAACAACCCCGACGGCACACATTTCTTAGAGTAAGACCATTTATACGTAAAAAAAAAAGTGGATCTGTCTTTTCCTTGAGGTTTGAGAGGCGGGCAGCAAATCTAGGCCAGTTCTCTCATCTTTAAAAACAGCCCGCACAGCTTACCAGATCCGTACTCCACACCAAGCCTGCCTCTGGGCACCTGGCACCTATCACATGAGCAGAGCCCTGAGATCCGGTCCAGTGTTGAGATGTGTCGTCAAGGAAACAGCATATGCTGGCGATTGAGGGAGTGGGTACTGGGGTGGGGGTGGGGGGGCTCCCTGTGCTGTTGCTCAACATAAAATCTGAGGGTACAGGTTAAGAATATGAGGTTTGCCC